ATACATGAATGTGTGTAGAAACATTTAATTTGTATATTTTTTTTTTTAAATGGTACATGAAAAATAAATAAATATTATCAAAAATGTGATACTAAAGTTAGTTGACAACTGTCAATTTTTTTTTTTTTTAATTTTATAACAAATCAATGATAGTAAAAAATGCTTCTAAAAATTTTCACTACGAATTTTTTTTAATTCTTAATTACTTATTTTTTTTTTTTATTTATCCATACAATTTTTAAATAAAAATTAACAAAAGATTAGAAGAATGAAATGTTTTGATTTTATAATGATGAGGTTTGAGGTTGGTTGTTCATATTTTATGACAAATAAATAAGTATTTACTTATCAATAAATTGATTTTTGTACCACTTTTATATGGTCTGGATAAATATGTTTTGTCCGGTAAGAGGGCGTTGTAAGAGAAATGTAGTTGGCGATTCTAGCTATCTAACAGATCGCTTCAGTAGCCATACTGTATTTCTGCTGTAGGAATACACAATGCTACAGTAACTTTCTACGAGTAGGTATCTAATAGATGGCTCCAGCAGCAATATTTTTTTTTCCGTGTATATTGAATTTTAGTGTGGCAAAGATGAGAACAGCAATTCTAAAGTCTATATGTGAAACAAAAAAAAAATTTTTTTTTAATGAAATTTAATTTTTGGTATTGGTTATTCATATATTCATGGGACATAGTTCTTATCATATTTATTTTCGAAGTTTTTAATTTGAGGAAGGGGAGAGGGGATTAGTATTAGGAAATTAGTTGATCATATCACACACATACTCGCGTTCCTTATATAAATAAACTTATAATAATATTAATCGCAAATTACCCTAGCCAGGATTCGATCTCAGCGTCTATGCATGAAAGACCGACGTTTTATTCCGACGCTATTCGAACGACATAGCATTCTGTGTAGTAGAGTGTAGTTATTAGCTACAAGCGTAAATAGTATGCATCGACAATAGTGACTGAAAAAAAACTAAGTCCAATTTATACGGGAGAGGGGATAGAATTCTCTACCGCTATTCAAACATTGCTGAGCCAAACGTTAAATTTTGGATTTTAAGCAGTAAGTTCCTGGCTGCTAGAGTATTGACTGTACTTAATATAGATAATCTAAAAATTACAGCGTGAGATGCAATAGTTACTTTTTCTATACGAACGTTCATAATTCGTATCTCACACTGTAAATTTTAGTGAACCAGTAAATAAACTATATTATTTGGCATTATAATTTGTATATTGCTGAAAAATGATAATTTTTACAGTTTTAAATAGAAATTAATGACTTTTAAAGAGATGAAATTTCCTGCATAAAAAGCAATAATATTTTTACCTTTTATGATGTTAGATTTACATTTCCAAACTGTAAAATTTGCTTCTTGCATGACAACAATTTTGTTACTATATAAAATACAAAAATTACAGTTTGAACTTTAATTTTTTCTATTTTGATAACGACGGGCTTGATTTTAGATTTTAAACTGTAATTATTCTTGTTTTCTTTTTTCCGTGTAATATAATAAAAGCAATAAAAATTAATAAAGTCATTAAAATGGGGGGCTCCACCCCTCAACCCCTGCCAGGGCTTCGCCCCTGGACCCCAACAATTTTAGAATAATATAATAAAAACAATAAGCTTGTTACCATGTTGTGCCCTTTAACCATGGTTGTTGTGTGTGTTTTTGATTTTTGTATGAGAAATTATTACCAATCAATAAATGACACAGAGCCGCATTGAAAGAAATTTCTGTATAATAAAATAATACCGAATAAATTTTGCCCTCGAGAAATAATCCCTTTAAGAAAATATTGTGCAAGAAATTATTGCTGAGAATTTATGTCGTCAGAAAAAAGAGACGGGCACCCTAAAAAAAAAAAAATGGTTACACCCAGTTAAAAACTTAGAATTAATTTAACTCTTAAAAGTAATTTAAACCAAAGTAAACATCTAAATTAAAATCTCCCCAGCAACTGTGAATAAAAAAACATAATTATAAAATTTTGTTTCAGCGTAATCATGAGACTGTCAAGCTTACTGTTTATCAGTCTCTTGTTAAGACTGAGCAACAGCCAAGAACCTTGGGACTGCGGACCCCCTTGCAAGTGTAAATGGGTCTCAGGAAAAAAAACTGCGGACTGTACGCAGCAGAATTTTACGCACATCCCGAGCTACTTGTTACCCGACACTCAAAACCTGGACCTGACTCAAAACCACATAAGCCACGTTCAAGAGGGTGCATTCACCCGGGTGGGTCTGGTAAATCTTCACAAGCTAGTAATGCGTCATTGCGGAATCCATACGATACACTCCGGAGCATTCAACGGATTAAAAATAGTAATCGAGGTTGATTTATCAGGCAATCATATAACGAATTTGATGCCAGGAACATTTCTCGAGACTCAGAAACTGCGCGTACTTTTGCTTAATCACAATTCCCTTAAGTCACTCGACGACGGTCTGTTCCACGACCTGGAGCATTTGCAGCGCGTAGAAATATCGCAAAATCGTCTGGAACGTATTGCAGAAAACACATTTAAAAATCTCCCGGGACTGCTAACTCTTGCGCTTAATGACAATAATATAACGAGCGTTAAGCTCGCGACCTTTGAAAACCTACCTAAATTGGGTAGTCTTGAATTACGGAACAACCCTTGGCACTGTAATTGTCATTTGAAGAAATTTCGTAATTGGACACTGGAGCGTAAGTTGTACACAAAAGGGACAACTTGTTTTCTTCCTGAAGCGCTAGCGGGTAAAGGGTGGGACGAAGTTGATTCTGATGAATTCGCTTGTCGGCCAAAAATACTTTCAATAGGCGCGTACCCACAAATCGGGGTTGGAGACACGGTTACAATGTGGTGCCATGCCTTAGGAATACCAAGGCCTCAATTGTCCTGGGTCCATCGGTCACGTGTTTTAAATAATTCAACGAAGCGACAGACCAGCGATCGCGGGTACTATTTGCTGGAGGGCCACGATTGGTTGAACTTAACGATAACAGACGTGATTCCCTACGACAAGGGCGAGTATATTTGTATCGCTAAGAGTCCTGGAGGAAGTGTCGAGAGAAATCTCACCCTGGCTATTGCGGGTGATGTTGACAGCGGGAAAACGAGCTTAATTAGCTTACCGTTGGCGCTGGGGCTCGGTGTCACGCTGCTGATATTTTTATTGTTCTTCTTAACTGTCTGTACGTGGTACTGGCGGAGGAAGAAGAGACACGAGGGCGAAAAGAGTGCCGATGTCACGTCTTTGGAGCATCACGGCTTGGGGGAACAAGAGAAATCACTCATTACTGCGATTAATCCTGTTGTTAAACCGCCCAGGAGGTACGAAGCTCCCTCGGTTACGTCTCATGGCACTGAGATGACTGAGCTTAATCGCACGCTGCTTGACAACGATTCTGTTTTCGGTCAGTACACTGCCTTTCTTAATAAATGCGATATTAAATTATAGTTTGTTATTTAGATTAAGGTTTTTGTATATATGCTTATATATATTGCATTTTATTGGATAAAATTGGGTAAAACGAACTTCTTTATTGAGAAAAAAATTGAAATTTTTGGGATAAGAAATTTATTTTTTGGAAATTTTAAATCATTTTTTTTTTAACTGAAAATACATAATTATTTTTACACTAATTTTCTAGTTGAAGAAAATTTTTTTGATTTGGAAAAAATAATTTTACAATAACAGAAAAAATTTTTTTTGAAAAAAATTATTAATTATAAATTTATTTGAATAAAGAGAAATATAATTTTTATTCAAAGTAAATTTTTTTTTAGATTTGAAAGAAAAAATTTTTAAATAAAATTCCCAAATTGTCCTAAAATTCTTTTTTCCAAATCAAAAAATTTTTTTTTAACATGTCACTAAGAAAAATTATTATTTTATTAGTTAAGAAATAAAATTGTTTGAAATTTGTGAGATAAGAAATTTATTTTTTGGAAATTTTAAATTATTTTTTTTTTTAACTGAAAATAAGGTAAAAAAACCCAGTTATTAACACTTGCAATTTTATTTTAATTAAAAAAAAAACAAATAAACTCGGATAAATTTATAAATATAATTTTTGAATTATAAATTTTAAGATAATTGATTTTTTGAGAATATTTTATTTTTTTAATTGGAATAAAATTGCAAGTGTCAAATAACTAGGCCAGTGTCGATAACTAGGTCTTTTACCTTATATAATTTTTTTTACATTAGCTTTCTAGTTAAAAAAATTTTTTTTTATTTTAAAAAAATTGTTTTACAATGAAAGAAAAAATTTCTTTGAAAAAAATGTACAATAATAAATTTATTTGGTGAGAATTTTTATTTCTAAGAAAAAATATAATTTTTACTCAAAGAAAATTTTTTGTTAGATTTAGAAAAAAATTAAAATTTTCTAATTCTTGTTTTCCTAATCAAAAAAAATTTTCTTTAACAAAAAAATCACTTGGAAAAATTATTATTTCTTCAGTTAAGAAATAAAATTGTTTAAAATTTTGGTAATTATTTATAAGTGAAGTCGACCTCATTTTGGGCCATAACTAAGTGAAAAATTAACATTTAAAAATTTTTTTTTATTCTGCTTGTTTTTACGGTACATTTATGATAAAAAATGTCGTGAAAGAAAAAAATAAAAATTTCGATAGCTTTTTTGCCTTTAGAAGTTGGAAAAAATTTTGGCTCATGTTTTTAGATAAAATTTCAATTGCATCTTTTTCATGACCTCACTTGTAAATAATTACCAAAATTTTCAACAAATAAATTTTTTTTTTTACAAAAATAGCTATTTAAAAAATTGCAAAAGAAAGGTCCAAAAATTGTACATTAAAAAATTATATTGAGCAATTTAGAATTTTTTAATTTTATGAATATTATGACAATTAAATTAGCAGAGATTTTATTTTATTTAAAAAATTAATTGATTATTTTTTAAGAATTGTGTTTACAATTTCTACATCTAGAAATTTTTTATATTTTTTTTATTGTTATTATTTATCCGTTATAAAATTCTAAGAAATTATTAAATATCTCTCAATTTCAATATCATTAAATATTACATAATTTTAATAATAGCAGCAATTAATAAATTTTTTTAATCTATAAATTAACTTTTTAATTAAAAAAATATCGATAATTTTCTACAAAAAATCAGAAACTTTTTTTTTAAAAACTCAATCATTATTTCTGTAAATTAAAATTTTTTATTAAATAAGTAAATGCTTATTTTAATTCCAAAAAATTTTTTTTTCAAAATTTTAATATCACTCAGTGTTTCAAATAAGAATTTATTTTTGCTATTTTAACAGATTTAACATTTAAAAAAGAAATTATCCTCATTAAATTTTATTATTTCAAAAGCGCATTTAATCCAAGATTAAATTTTTCCTAGTATATAAAATAAATGCTGATTAAAAACAAAATGATAGCCGTAAAAAAGGTATTTTTTAAAGAAGTGCGTTTTATCCAACATTTTTTTATGCTTAAAAATAAACTCATTTAGTTAAGTATAATTAAACAAGGAAATTGCAGAGATCCTTTAAATAAAATTACGTAATAAAGTTGTTCAAGTCAGGAGAAATAAACCTGATTTGCTGAACGTTCAAAGAACAGCATAAATTATCTAGCAAAAAGTATTTATATGCAATACATCAATCGATCATTACATCATTCTATGATTGATGCGCGTGCCACAATACGCGTATTAATTTTCTAGCCATGTAAAAACTATATATAAGCTTAGTACAGTAGCTAGTGAGTTTTTTTTATTGATTTTTATTTATTTATTTATTCAATTTTTTAAAATAGAGCTTTAAAACTTAAAATTTATAAAAACAAAAATTCAATGACTGGTAAAGTGCCTCATAAAAAAATCACTAAAAAAAACACACTTACACACAAATAAAATAATTTTATTTTAATTACATTAGGGTTAAGGCTCCAAATATTGACCAGTTAAGATAAAATTAACATAAATACATTATTCGTAAATTTATTGGAAGAGTTTATGAGCTGAGAGTGTTTTCCTTTTTTTATAGTTTTAACTTACAAACTATAATACTTTTGTTTATAAAATACATAATAATAAACATTAAATTGTAATAATTAACGTTACAGCCGATTGCTCCGAATATTGACCATTACACACTTAATATTGACCGTCTTTGTTCCAAATACTGACCAGTAGTATTATGCCTACTAGACTTATAAATAACTTTTATTTTTAATCTATAATAGCTTCGAAATTAGGTAATCTATTCACTGACATGTTAATAATTGAAGTATTGTTGTGGTTCTGTATTCTGATACAATATCATCTTCAGTACTCATATTTAAATCAATGGCCGAAGCCATACTAATATTAGGTACTTTCGATAATTTACAACACCAAGTGTTGACCAGAGTATTATTTCAATTATTACCATGATTTTTCTAACAAAAATTATTGATAATAAATCTTCGATAATTGTTTTGACAAATACTTTTTTATTGAATATGAAGAATTTAATTTTTTATTAATTGATCACTAATGTGCTTACCAAACTCGGCGAGGTTCTAATGACTCATTTTTAAAACTTTTTGACATTTATACACAAACTTTTTGTTTTATAACAACTGCAAATATTTGATTGCGCAAATTTTTATTTAAACTATAATTAAAGATTGATAATTACTAGGGCCAAAATGTTTGCTGGAATTTTTAAATAAATGGTTCAAATTTTTAATATTACGGCGAAAATATTGGTCTTATACAAAAATTTATTAAATAAAAGTTGTTTAAAATTTAATTTTATATAAAAAATCTTTTTTATGATTTTTTAAAAAAATGTTTTCGTTGTAATTCCAAAATTAAGATTCATAAATAAAAGGTTCAAATTTTATGATAATTATGAATCTTACTTTTGAAATTACGGTGAAATTATTGATCCTAAGAAAAAAACACGAGGAACATTTTTTTTATAAAATTAAATTTTGAACAATATTTTCACCGTAAGTTCTCAATTAAGAGTCATTAAAAAATAACTCAAATTTTTTCAAATTATAAAAAAGGGTTTTTTGACCATACACAGTAAAAAAATTTTCATAAAATTTAACATAAAATTTTGTGTAGATGATTTTTTTACACAAAATTTATGTTAATTATACACATACTGTTTGTAGAATTAACATAAAAGTAATACAAAAATATGTTGAAACTTTCATCGGCCGATTCTCGGATTTCTACACACAGTTAAATGTTATCCATAACACAAATAAAGTGTTGATTGTAACATTTTCTTTGTGTTACTCAGATCAGCTGTCAAATAATGTGAGTTTTACTAATAATTTAAATATGTATATTTTATATATATATATTTTTTGTGATTAAAAAAAATACATGAGTACTTGAAAATAATAAATTAAAGGAAAAATGCACATGTAGAAAATTAAAAAAACTGTAAGTTTATTTTCTAATAATTTATTATTTGTTATTTTTGTCTAATTCGAAAAAATAAATGAAAATTAAGTTAGCCGACATCTGAAAATTTTTACAATATTTTTTATTGAAAAAATTATTACAAAAAAATTTTTAAAAAAAATTTCACATGTAGAAAATTTGAAAAATTATTCGTGTAATTTTTTTTAAGTATTTTTTTACTTGTAAATAATTTGTCAAAAAAAATCAAAATGTCTGCTAGATTCATAATTATAAAATTTATTATTTTTCTTATTTTATTTATTTCCTCATAACTTAAAATTTATTCTGTCTTCTAGATTCACACTAGAAAGGATATTAACCTTGTAATGAATTTTAAATTAAGGTTGCAATTCTGTTATCGGATGTTTTAATATAAATTACACTTTATTTACTTAGTTTTTAATTGCTATACACTACAATTGTATATTTATTAGCTGCATTTAAGTATTTCACGTAATGACACAAATTAAAATCGACCAAATTAAAATGACGTTGAGGCTATCACATTCACATGTCTATCTTGTGTGGCATACGTGACTATATATGAAGAATTCTTTAACATAAATTTTGTGTTGGTTGGCCAGTAACATTAAAAAAGTGTAGTTTTACTTTGAATTAACACTTGAGTGTGTTAAAAAATGGATGGATTGATAAATACTGTAACGGGTAATTTTTGCGTGTTTTTAAATAACAAAACACTAATGAACGATACTGCGACACAAACGCCCCCGTTGCTCGAATCTGAAGCTCGCCGAAGTCCAGGGTCATAAACGGGGATTACAAAATATAACAAAATATAAAAGCCAAACACTTCATTTTAAATAAATCAAAGGAGAAGAACACCTCTTTATTGACCTGATCATATTAATAAACAATATAAATAATATAAGCAAATTAACCAATATAAACAATGTAAAAAAAATACATTAGAACACTCTTTTCACACATATTCGCGGTTCAAAATCATTAACGCGGTTCAAAATCAATAAACAATATAAACAATGTAAGCAATATAAACTAATACAAAATCAAACATACACGACAGTATTCGCGGATCAAACTGAAAAACGCGGTCTACAAAACACTAACTAGTCCCCAATAACACCCCCCCCCCCCAGGGCGACTAGCCGTCATCCCTGTGGGGTCCTAAACTCTACCCTGAGAGCAAGTGGAGAGTATCCTCCTTGCTCCCACCTACACGACTTATGATCACCTACCGTACCTCAGCTGAAGGCCTTGGCACGGGGAGTCGCACTTTCATCCGGTCGGTCCCTGATACTTACCTGGGTCTTGGTAAGACTCCAGGTCCAGGGTACCCAGACTTTCTTTTCAGCGCGTAGCCGACCTGTGGCGCTAAAGTCGCCCAAAGTCGCCGCGATCAATTCAAATTGTAAAAATTAAATAACAATTTTTTTTTTTTTTCAAATCTGGTTTATTGAAAATTATAAAATTATTATCATTCAACAAAATTATAAGTAAGAGAATACAAAATTCAAGTAAATTTTATGAAGTGAAATTTTCATCATAAAATTAGTTTAGATAAATTAACATAGGGGAGGGGGGGGGGGCAAAATGGGGTACCCCCAAAATTTCGTAAAAAAAATTTTTTTTTTCAAAAAGCTTTTTTAGCTTTCTAAAATATATTTTAACGTCATTTCCTACAATTTCAGAGGAAAAAAAATTTTTTTTACATGCAGTAAAAAAAATTTCGTCAAATTTAACACAAATATTTGTGTTACTGACTGTTTTTACACAAACTAATGTCAATTCTACATTCTAGTATGTTAAATCAACACATGAGAATGTAAAATTATACACACTAGAGTGTAATTTGCTACACAAAAATTTTTACACTTCACAAATTGACGAAAAATTTTTTACTGTGAAGTAATTTTTATCGTCATTGTGCATCATAATAATTTTTTTTTCACATCTAAAATTTTTTTTTCTAAATTTTTAAGTTCCCACTTTCCAAATAAATGATTTAAAAAAAAAAAAATCGGGAAGTCATTGGTTCCAAGCCAGTTTTCGAAAATCAAGTTCTAATCTGATCTCCACATTTTTAAGGTCCTAAGAAGTAGCTCTTAATACTCCTACGAAGATTTCTATCAAGGTGTGTGTGTGTGTGTGTGCACTGATAGAAATTTTAACTTGACTCAAGAGCAAAAATCATGAACTAAGAACACCAATTGGAAGAAAATGAACTTCTTGAGCTAAGAGGAAAAATTCTTGGGTCAAGATATATTTTCGTAACTCAAGAGAATCTATCATGACTCAAAAATTTTTCCTCTTGGCTCAAGAAATTCATTTTCTCCCAATTGGTGTTCTTGGTTCAAGATTTTTACTCTTGAGTCTAGTTAAAATTACTATCAGGTTCAGCGAAACTTAGACTTCCTCATAAATTGAAAATAACTTTTTTCTTTTAACAGCTTTTAAACAGATGTAACAATCAATTCCAAAATCTAAACAGTTCTTTAATTTAAAAAACGACGTTGACTGCTGCAAACCGCATCAAAATCGGGTGATATGTTGAAGAAAAATCGTACACTAATTATTTTAAAAAAGTGTCTTTTTCAAATAACGTCGAATTGATTCTCGAATTATTTTTGATGACATAATTTAACTATAAATGCTCAGAAAACTGAGTCAGAGGCCGCCAATTGCTTCAAAATCATTTAGTGCGCTTGTGAGATATATAATTTAAAAAGTAAAATCTTCAGGCCTACAAGATATTAAACTTGAAAAAATTTTCCTGAATCCCGAAACCAAGAAAGAGAGTGCAAAAAAATTACGAATCTTTTTTTTCGTGCTATTACTTTGAATTGCGAGAGAACTATGAGTCTAAAATTTTTTTCACCAGGAGTTCCAAATACTAGAATTTTCTCAAGAGAACTCTTTTTTTATATCTTGATATTATTTTTACTCAAGCGAAACCCGTCAAAAATTACGAAAAAGTCTTAAAATTTTTTTTACTGCCTCAATTTTTGTTAGGAATATATTGCTTCAACTAACAATGTCTCTTTCTTGGGTGATTTGTTCCTCTCTTTGGGTTATTTCGTAGACTTATCGATAAGAAAATGTTATTTTTTAACGATATTTTATTTTCGAATGAAGAAATTTTTTTTCACTCTTTCAGGGAGTACCCCATTTTGCCCCCAAAAAAAAAAAATTTTTTTT